AAAAAAAAAAAAAAAAAAAAAAAAGGGCAGTTGAATAAATCAAACAGAAAAAACATAGTTATTTGATATATTTGATACACTTAGTAGAAAAACATGTACATCAACAACTTCTGCACATGCATTATTTGAGAAACTATCACATAATATTGAGCGCTAACTCGTACTCAGAAATGAATCATATCAAAAAAATAACTGCAGATCACAACGCAACATAATATGATTATTGATCAAGCGCGGGAAAATTTCGCCTGGGAATAAAATGGTATCTGTGCTTATGAACGGCTGATTCAGATGAATAAGAAATCACAATGCAATATGATACTTAAATAATTCTGCGTGGAGAAGGCAAGAGAAATATATAAGCGGTTCTTTTGTGTGGAAAAAATGCAAAATTAGCACATGCAGTACAAATTATGAAAGTCATCACTGGAGATTCAGATCAACTCATAGTGATGAAACAAAAGGCAGAAGAGGAGGAAAATACCTCTGATCTATGTTTGTTATACCACGTACTTCCCTAGTTTTGCCAACAAAGATTTCTTCTACCCTCCTGCATGATCTCAAACGCAAGTTTGTATCTTTCTAAAGATGCTGTTCCTGCCTCAATGTAGTTCTTTGCTTCTTCTCTTAAGCTCCACAACATCAATGCCTTATGATCTTTAGAAGCACCCCCTGAATCAACATCCCGCAGTATACCATATTTTGCATCCTTTGTCCACCGATGTAGGATATAGCGAGACGGAAGCTCTCTTATGTTCATAATCTGAAAAACTTTCAAGGCATGTCTACACAGCACACCTTCAAACTCAAACATTTTACAACTGCAGCTGACATTAAGACTTGAGGCATTAAAGGCAACTGTGTTCCTCTCATCTCCACTCCCACTCTTCTGCACCAGATACCTACTAATGGCACCTTCAACATTTATCTTAATTCCAACAAAGCTATAGCACTCCAAAAGCTCTTTCTGAAACACTTGGAACATAGTAATAGTGTAAAGCCTTCTACACTGGTCTTCTATAGGGTCCTTCGTGTGCAGAACTGCTTGTAAATTGAACGAGTTAAAATCCTCTTTCCTTTCCTCTTCGCGGCGTTGCTCAAGGGCTTTTTCGTACCGTATAAGAAATTCACTGAGTGGTGTTTGAGATGTCAATATGGTGCCAAAATATGATTTCAAGCTTCCGTCCATTGGAATGCCAGCAAAGAATGTGCCCCTAATGTGTAATGGCACCCAACTCTTGCGCATCCTATACATCTCCATTAACCATGTGTTTTTTCTTAAATTATATTTGTTAACTAGCACATTCCATGCTGCTTCAAACTCATTCGCAGTCTGGCTCTGGAAAATGCAAGTTTCATATTCATACTTAAATTCAGGATTCATAGAGAGCAATGCACCAATATTTTCCTGCTCTGTAGCCTTAATTTGCCATGCTGAAAAACGATGATGTATTCCCGGAAAAACTTGAGCAATTGAATGTTGAATGGATCTGTCCTGATCAGCGACTATAGAGACAGGATGGCGCCCTGACATTGCACGAAGCCATGCTTGAAACACCCAAGTAAATGACTCTTCAGACTCTTCCGCAATTAAGGCACAGCCAAGAAGCACCGGCTGCCTGTGGTGATTAATCCCAATGAATGAAGCAAGTGGCACTGAGTAACTACCCCCCTTTCTATATGTTGTGTCAAAAACAACTGCATCACCAAATTGAGTGCAAGAAAATCTAGACCGGGCATCAGCCCAGAATACACTCATAGCTCTACCATTATGCATTTCCACTGCATAAAAAAATCCCATATCGTCTGCTTGCCTAGCCTGGAAATACTCAAAAAGCTCATTATACCAATCACTGCCAATTCTACTCTCCCGGCCTCGTGTAACAAGGCTAAGGCCACCATTTAATTCAACTAAATCCATATTCTCCAACACACTGCTCGCTTCTTCTTTAAATCCTTTTACTCTCCCACTAGCATCAACGGGCAGGCCAAGTTCATGATTATGCTCATTTTGAAAACGATCAACCAACCATCGTCCTGTTTCTTGTCTCTGTATCCTCATGAACGCGCCACACCCAACTCTTGACGGGTGCTGATGCCCTTCCTTAGAGCAAACAAATCTTCGCGAGGTAATCGACCCATCATTTTTTGAACGAAACAGCTGGCCAATCCGGACTTTAAAGCCCAAATTAGCAGCATATGCATTATAAAATTCATATGCTTCACCAGCAGAAGTAAATTCAAGTCCCTTATATGGTTCACTACCTCTAGGCTGTAATTCTACATCAATTCTTTCCCTTTTAAAAC